AAGTAACAGAAAGTGTGGTAAAATTAAAACAAATAGAAAGTGAAATCAGTGTAAATGTTACTGATAGTGAAAATTCGGAGCGATTTTCATCCGATGAACATAGCTCCGGTGGTGAAGAAGAAGTTTTAGAGACCCCTGTAGAAAGTGTTCCTGGGGTTAATAAAATTGAAGAAATTAAATCGTGGGCTATTGAATTTAATATTTCTCGAAATGCTCTAGACGGCCTATTGCAAACTTTAAATAGAATCGGAGTAAGTGATTTACCTCTTTCAGCAAAAACTCTTTTGGGGACCAGCAGGCAAAAAAAGAATATATCAAAAATTCCAAACGGTGAATTTCTGTACCTAGGAGTACAAAACTATTTTTTTGACAAAACTCTTAATTTTTTACAAAATAAGGAAGAAATTTCGATTGATGTAGAGGTTGACGGTCTTAGGTTATTTAAAAGTTCAAACCGTGTACTGTCCGATTCTTGGAGCACTTTCAGATTATCCTACTAAGAGCCCGTTTGTCATTGCTTGCTTCTCTGGGCATGGAAAACCCAAAGACATAATTGACTTCATGCGCGATTTTTGTGCCGAATACAAGGTTCTAAAAGAAAACGGTATTAAAGTAGGCTACAATCAAGTTTTAAAAGCATTCAATGTTCGGGTTTTCATTTGTGATTCTCCAGCTAGAGCGTTCGTTACCGGTGTTATAGGGCATAATGAAAAAAACGGTTGCCCCAAATGCTGTGAAGAGGGAACATGCAAAGAGAGAAGAGTGTGTTTTTCAAACAAGATTGGAGTCCTTAGATCAGACGAGTCCTTTGAATTAAGAACTAATATTTCTCATCACCTTACACAGTTTAAAGAAAAAAATATATGTTTTGGAAGAAGCCGGATTCAGGATGGTTTCGCAATTTCCCCTTGATTCTATGCATTTAGTTGACTTAAGCGTAGTCAAAAAATTGATAAGGCTGATCTCCAAAAGAGTAAATGTAAAAGCAATTAATGAAAAACTCAATTACGTATCTCAATTTGTGCCTTCTGAATTCGGTCGTATACCCAGGAGCTTAGAAGAACTTTGCAATTGGAAGTCTACGGAATTCAGGCAATTTCTCCTTTATACAGATTTATTTGTTTTGAAAGGTAATATTAGTGATGATTCATACTACCATTTTTTATTGCTTCACAGTGGAATAAGACTTCTTTCAAATGAAAAGTCACTTAATAAAGACACAGTCGTTGCTCAAAAAATTTTAGAAGATTTTGTCAAATTTTTTGGTAACTTATATGGCGACGAACAAGTTAGTTTTAGGGCCGGTTACTCCATGTCTGGTTAACACTAATCTGCGGTTAAACATCGTTATCGACGACTTCGACTCCATGCATATAACAGGGAGTCGGTAACGTCGATAACTATGTTTAACCGGAGATTAGTGTTAACCAGACATTGAGTAACCGGCCCTTAATATTCAAGGTCTGCTTCACTTTTCTGATTCGGTAAAAAAAACTCGGTCCATTAGATTCTTATTCAGCATATAGATTTGAAAATTATATGCAATTTTTAAAAAAAATTATTAAAAGCCCAAGCAACATTCTTCAGCGATTGTCTTTGAGACTTAAAGAAAGGCAGGGGTATGAATCAAGTTGCAATAATTTTGGTTCCTTTACTATCAGTGATAAAAAAGATAAAGATAGTTATTGTTTTTGTGAGAAAATTGGGCCTATTAAGGTGGTGGATGTCATAAAATCAACGGAATCGGATATAATTATTTGTAAAGCTTTTCAAAAAATCGAAAACTATTTTACTGAACCTCTTCATTCATCCACGAGTTTGGGCATAGTTGGAGCAAGTGATTTGGCCATTGAAACAGTTCAAATTGCCTTCAAAGATATAAAATATAAATAATTTTGTATTCCGTTTGGTGGCAAGTTTCTGTTAATACCCCTGCTGCACCATTTGTTTCACGATTTTTTTAACTTTACCACACATTCATAATTAACAAATTACCGATAATTATAGTTTAAGTAATTGCAAAAAACATGAATATTATTGCACATGAATTCTAGCAACTCTATTTTGGACGAGTCCTTCGTTGATGAAACCCAATTAAATGGTAAGTGAAATGCCTTAAACGTGTACATATGCATATATATATAATTTAATGATTCTCACTTTTCAGCGAACCAGCCTGCAATTGTCAGAAGATGCTTTGATGAAACAACTTCCGACGAAGTGATGGAGGTTAGGGAGGAAAGCAGAAATGAGCAACAGAGACCCGATAATAAAGGTTTGTTTCTGCTAAAATTATCGCTAAACTTAATACGATATTATCTGCAGAGATTCTGGATGCCTTCGAAGTCATAACCCTACGTTTGGCTACGATCGAAACTAATGTAAGTAATAGCATCTCCGTTTTCATACTTATATCACATCGGCAACAGTGACATTTATCCGATAAATGCCTTTTCTTGAAATAATTTATGTTGTCAATGTTCGATATGTATGCATATCTCCGATTGATTACCAATTTAGAAATTATTTAATATTATAGTATTTAATATTATGTTTTCATTTCATTAGCAAGTTGTCCTGCAAAAAACCAGGAAATAATTAGCCGCCAAGTCGAAGAACTTGTCGAGAAGGTGAGTTTTTTTATTACTAATAGCGTTTTCTTTTCTCGA